CTCTCTCTCTCTCTCTCTCTCTCCTGTTTCATTTGTCCTAGCACCTTTATACGGACACGTGTCGAAAATACAGATAGGAAAATACTATCTACACATTAGGGTACTTATGAAGATACAGGAATGAAAATATTCCTCAATTCCATTCGGTGATATAGAATAAGTGCACGTGCTGAATTTACCTTTCCCATATAAAGGATAAGATTAGATCGACAATCTAATTTGACTAAATCGCTGTTATAACTTCATGCGAATAAAACTATTCGTCCATATGCGACAATGATGGACTGAGAAACATTTAAAAGTGTATCTTAGTGCCAGAAAACTAACATGATTTTTAGAAATGAATTATTTATGCCTATTTCAATCTAATTATTGATATGGAAGTATAATATCGAAGAAAAGAGCCAGGTGAAAGAAGTATATTATATCTTCATATAAATATTTATCACTCCTGATCGAACTTTGAAAAATTGCTATATACGTATGTATAATAATTACAAGAATAACACTAGTTACGTTAGTAAGCGGGGAAATTTTTTTGTTTTTTATCAATATACATCGTTAATTTTCCGACAACTTTCTGTAATTACGACGTTTTGCACAAAGTTAAGCTAAAATTTTGTGTTGTTATAACGGTACTAGGTTTCTCTATTTTAGCAGCGCACTGCGAGTTCTGCGATCACCAGAGACTATTAAGCTCGTTCACGTATTATACGATAATCGATTCAACTCAACCATCGAATTTCAATTTTGAATTATCATTGTCCTTCATTATATGACCTAAAAAAAGAAAAAGATAAAAAAAAGGAACAAGAGATCGATAAAAGAAGAAGAGTAAATAAGAAAGAAGCCAAGATCAACGTAAGAAGAAAAAGCAGGAGCCTAACACGCAAAGATGTATAAGTAATAGAAAAAGAAAGTCGAACAAAAATCAGCAGATTGGAACAAAATAGAGCATAAGCGACACGCGGATGAATTAGGAAACGGCGAGACCAGCTGCAGTCTAAGGGTACTCAGCCCCACTATCAATCGATACCGGTCGATTGATAGTTGGCCATGTTTTATGAAAAAAATCGACTGTGTCTTTTGTATGCGACCACAGAACAGCCGCAGTTCTCTACTCGTTAACCAACACCGACCAACTACCACCTATAAACATTATTGCCGACTTTCTACATGTAGGTGGAACGTTTCATCGGCAGTCAATGAATTAACTCGAGAGCATATGAAATGTACGACGATATTCCATAGTTAAAACGATTCGTATCCTCTCGTTTTAATTTCGTTTAGTTTGGCTCGTGACTTATGTATACGATAGCGGAATTCGCACCGCTTGTATCTCCTTAATGCGATTGGCAAACGGAGAAAACTAAAAGAGCGACGTATGACTTTCGTGATATTCATCCAAAAGAAAACAAAAGGTACGTTACCGAACCCTAGTTCGACATATATCTGTATGTGTATGTATGATGTATATTTCTAACACTGTCTCTTGTCTTTATATGCCGCACACGTGTTCCGATGGCTTTTTCTTGTCCCTTGGTTCGAGTTTTCTTCTGCACTCTATCACAAAAATTGGCAACAATTTTGTTTCTTGGATGTTTTGCTTCTAAGAAACGTGGGTTATGTATCAGGGGATAAAAACACACCCATATTTCTAAAGAGGATATCACGCGTCGCTCTGTTATATGTATATTATGCAAGTGGATGCAGTTTTGTTTTCATCGTAGAGTCTTGTAAATTGCCTGACGTCGATGTATGAAGGACGAACTCGTAGTATTTACTTCATCAAATATCCAACAAACTCAGTTGAACGTTCAATGAATTATTTTACTAAATCATTATTCCTTATTCACGAACACGACGAACTTAGCTTAAATGCGATAACCCGATTACTCTACTCGAGTTCGTGTTCCATACAATTTGAGCTACGTCATCTATAGTTGTTGCTTGACAAACGATGCAAGCGATGTTTAAGCGTAAAAGGATAGCGCCTTTAATCACGTTGTGTGGCATACGAAATAGTCCTGGATTTTGAGTTTAGAAATGAGGATGGTAGTTATATACCGATGACTTGTTCACGGAGAAAAAAACTGGGAAGTGCCTTTAACGTTGTTTGAAATATTAACGGCGATTTTGGTAACTTAGGTTGCTTGGATTACCAGACTGTCGCATTCCACCACCACCCCTTGTACCATCACCACCTCGGGAAAATCCACCGCGACCACCTCTCGTACCATGCTGACCACCTCTCATCATGCCTCCAGGTCCGCCTGTAAAACAAAAAAATATAACTAAAAAATTATAATCATTTTTTAACTACGATACGATATATGGTACGAAAAGTATTAAATAACTATTATATTTTTACTTTAACATTAAAGAATCAAATTTACTACATTGTTTATGTAAATGCCATTGATATAAAAGTATTACACACCTGGACCTCGTTGTTGTTGTTGTTGCTGTTGTCCTCCCATTGTCCTCATGTTACCGTCGTTAGAATTCAACCGACCACCACTGCCTTCCATCGTTCTAGGCTTTATTTTCTTCTCTTCCACATTTAATTTTTGTCCATTTTCAGCAGGATAATAGATCGGCTAAAATTAACAATAGAAAATGAATCGTTTTATTCATTAAAACAGATGTCTTATAGACATAAAACTAACCAAGTTCTGTAACACTTTGCTAACAACTTGTTGATCTTCAAAAGTGATGAATCCATAGTTAGGCACTTTCCCCGTGTTATTTCCTTGTGGCCCCTTGCACCTATCGTTTGATTTACTGTGTATACGCAACTCTACTACCCTACCATAAGATTCAAACACTTGACGTAAATCATCTTCCGATGCATTGTGCGGTAGATTTCCAAGAAACAGTTGGTGAGCATCACTATATTGACTTTGCCTTGTACCACGACGATCGCCATCTAAAGAATTCATTATTTTGTAATATTGCTAATATTACTGGTGTAATATAAAACGTAAAAAATGTACATATCTCGATAGCTAATCTTTATTAATACCTCTCAATAAATGTCTTTACCTCGTTGTACTGCTCCTCCTCTTGGAGCTCTTTGCTGTTGATGTTGCTGTTGCTGTGGCTGCTGATTTCCAACTCTATGAGCCTGTTGCTGTGGAGTAGAAACACTAGTTGATGTAGAAAGTGCAGGTCCACTACTAGTTGGATGTAACGGTGATCTATCGTCTAAACGCAAGTTTGTCATTGGAGGCTGAGAACAAATGTTATATTTATATTTATACATAGTTAATATCCGATTTACGTAAATTACAAAATAAACAAAAGGCTGATAAAAAAAAAAAAAAAAGAAAAAAAAAAGAAACAACTATAGTTATAATATATACATATATACCGGTGACATAGACAATTTGGGAGCTTGAGGACTAGTAGCGCCAGTAGTAGTGGGGAACGATTTCACAAGATTAGCGTATGTCTTCGGTCCACTACTGGTCACATTTGTATTTGTCACTTGATGTTCTGGTTCGGATTCTTGTACAGAAGCGGTAAATGTTTCAGTCTCGGGTTGTTCACGAGTCTCACTTGTTTGAACCTGAGGTTCACTTTCTGTTTGTTGTTGTTGCTCAACTGTGGTATCCAATTCCGTTTCTTGTACAAATTGTGTTTGTGATGTGGGTTCAGTTACATATTGGTGCTGCTGTGCAGGTGGTGGAGGTGGTTGTTGCTGCTGTTGTGTAGATGGCGGTTGTTGGTTGATTAGTGGTGTTTCTTCGTGAACTGATCCATTTAGAACTTGTTGCATTACAGGATGTACCTAAAATTAACAAAATGTATGTACAATAATGTATTATTCAAATATTTAATTTACTATATCAAACTAACATGAGTCTGTTGTGGTGGTGGAGCATAATACATTTGTTGCTGTTGTTGAAGTACGGGTTGTTGTGCAGGAATAAGCGGTGGCTGTGCTTGAGGTTCGGTAGATGCAGCTGGTGTTGAAAGTTGTTGTCCTCGATTTTGATGTTCATCTTCTTCTGGTTCAGAACGTCCTCCCTCTTCTCCTTCCCTCTCTCCAGACTCACCAACACCTCCCTCTACACCACCTACATCTGCTTCTTCCTCATCAGGAAAGATCAAGTCTTGGTAACGGAATATGTCATTATGTACATAATATGTTTTTGGTGCTTGTATGGCCAACACAAATGTTTGTGTAAAACGGCGCATTGGCTGTCCAGCATTAGATAGTTCCCCAGATACCTGAAAATTATTCAATTAATAGGAATAAATTAAATATGTGTTTCATAATTTTCAGCATTAAGTGTTAAGTAATATCTTCAATGAATACAATGTAAGGTATTTATAGTATAATTCAATTTTTTTATAATTATTATTAATAATATGACATACTTGCACAACAACACCATTTTCAAGAGTAAGCTGTGAATCCACTTGACTTATTTTGGCATGACAATCACGAAAGTTTAATTGTTGTATTTTTTGATGTATTTGTTTTTGGCCAATTGCAGGAGTTGATTCTCTATTTGAATCTAATCCTCCATGCACAAAGGAAGAATGTTGATTATAGAATCTAAAATAACATTTAAAACATAAAAATATCAAAATATATTTTTACTTTTCAATGTAATAAGAGTATACTTAATAATAAAAGAATATTTAATTACCTATGAAGATGTGCTGGAGCTTGATTAAGCAAAGTATAATATTGTCGGACAAATTCACGACCGACATTTTGTGGAGAAGGGGATGCCTCCATGACCATTTTCTTATTCCTAACGTCTAAAATAGTACTTTGCTTAAACAGCAATCGAAAGTTTATGCAGTAATTGTAAAAATTAGAAGTTTAGATGTCTGTAACAGAAAAAGATACTTAAAATGTTTACAGATATATCACATTGTTTATTTATCTATATCTTTATCATAATATATAATAAGTCAAAAATAACTCTTTAAAACAGTCATAGCAATTGGTTTAAAAGAAGAAGTGTTTAAATTAAATATACATATATATTATAAAAAGGTATAAAATATACTGCATTAATGTTTACATATTAAATAATTTATTATACTTATATATATATATATATATATATATATTTATATGATATGTAAAATCAACATAGGAATTAAATACCAGAAAGAAATGTACAATTTGATGAGATAAAAATTATAGATATGCACATCAATCAAAGTGGCTATCTATGGATATCACATGAGAGTGATGTGCTTGAAATTAAAATGGTCTTATACTAAACTTTTTTCTTCTAAAACAACTAACCCATTATAGAAACTATGATATTTTATAAAAATCGCTTCATAGTATTATATACAATTTATGTGTAAGTAATAAACACAATAATCTTAAAACTTGAAACATATACGTATTAAAATATTGTATAATTTTTGTAATTTTTCTATTAAATTATAATAAGACGCAAGTAAAATCATGTTTCGAAAGAACATGTGCTCGCGCAGGTATAAAGATTACAAGAATTTTTGTTGCAAAGTAATTGCTTGAAAACAAAAAACTGTAGATCATCTCGCAACTCGTGTGCTGTGCAAAGAGCGAGGTCGAGGGCAAAGGGGCCGCCCGGTTGCATGAGCAAGCATGGCGATTTTTCTTGAGTTGAAAAATGGTAACGCTAAGTCCCTCAGCGTAAAATTTTAGCGAAATGTTTTCATAAATAACATTTAAAACGAGTATCGAAACGTTCAATAATTTTAACGATAATTTACAGATAACAAATATAGTTAATTCATTAACGATGAACCGCACTCTTCACAGTTTCATATCATGCTCGCCTTCCTGGTTCGTTCTGAAGTCTTTCCTGTGAGAAGTCGAATGAAAGAACATCGGCAAAGCCGATCTTATGGCGTTGTACACTCACCCGATGGAATCACTTATGCGCGACACAACTCACTGCTTTTCCCGGCAAAACGAAATGCTGCGACGAAAACAGAAAGCTGGCACGAGCAACAACAGTTCACAATAATGTTAATTATAAAAACAGTTCAATGTATGAGTCCTCCAAGCACCTTGATGTCAGCACATGCAGCGGAACCTGCACAGAAGCACCGGTCGTATAAAGATAAACGACTCTCTTACAGAAGCCGAGTCTTTACCCAAGCTATGCGGATTTTACAGGAACTACATCATCAATCGAACAAATTCCAGAAGGGCATTTCCTTGCACTTTACTATGTCGCTGATTGGCTATTTTATTTCTAATATGGAAAATCAGCCAATTATAAGATAGTTTAAGCAGAAAAATTCGGTTGGACAACAAATGTGTGACTCGTCCAATAACAGGTGTCATTCTGCTATAACTTATGCATTATTGGATAAATTGTCAAATGACGTACTTTAGAACTGTAGCTTAATACCTTCATATACTGCATAATACACAAATAGTTTTGCATAAATTAGTTATGATAATTATTTGATTATAAATATGAAATAAATGCCATAAAAATATAAAATGATAATCATCTAATGTACAAATATTTTACATTGCAATAATAAATATTACTTTGAGTTCATACTATACTTTTACGTACATGTGTATACATATGCATATGTATATTATCTTCATCGTTATCATTATTATTATTATTACTATTATTATTAGTATTAATATTATTATATTTGTATATGCCTTTGATGTTAGTATGATACAATGAAAATAATAATTATTAATATAATTGTAATAAAAAATGTAATTTTGTTTTATTATATACACGTAAAATATTTAAATCCTAACCTATGAATGACCATTAAAAGATATTAAATTTATTCTATATTGATTATATATTTTTTAATTTCTCCTATATTTGTTTTTTTCTTTTATTTATATCAAATGTTTAATATATTAAATATATTAAACATATATTAAACATTTGATATTAATATTTATTAAAAATGATAAAGAAAAACGATCTCAATATCATGTGTAAATTAAACAAAAGCACAACACAATTTGTTAAATACGTAAAAATATTGTTAGAGATAAATTCAAACATTATTTACTTATCTAAGTATTAATTCAAGAAGTTGAAAACTACGTGAATAACAAATTATTATCGAACTTGTTTCATTAGCATACGAAAAAAAAAATGAACAAAATACAAACAAAAAGAAAAGATGTTTTTAAATCCAGAATAAATAAAATTAAAGGTCACATATAATTCTTTACAAATAACACTTTGTAAGAGTAAGAATTCTTAATACTTACAATAATTTACATTATCTAGTTTCACATTTTGAACAATTTCGTACTATTATTATATTTTATAATATTCAAAATTTGATTCTTAAGGTTTATTGATAATGAAATAAAGCAATAGAATACATAATATATTTAATTATATAAAGTACACAAAAGGAAAAGCTTTCAAAAAATTTACATACCAAAGAATCTTTACAAAGAAGCAAAATAAATCTACATTTTGCTATGAAATACTACGATGAATATTTATGCAGTAGTAAATTTTCAAATTTTTCTTACTAGACAAAGAACATCGTAATAAAACTTTTAAACTAAAAGAAAATATTGTTTTTTTCTCAAATTCAACACTGTTATATGTCATAAAAGTATTACATTAAAAAAAAATTAGACAAAAAATAATGTTGCCTTTTTTTAATTTTACGGTTTAAAATGAAATGTACAAAATGCATTCTTAATAATATAACAAATTTTAATTACATACTATTGTATAAAGTCTAGTATCTGATATTAAACTGTAGAAAATAAGTAATCTATATTTGGACTAAATTTTTCACTAATTAAAAAGTGTGCATTTTAATCTATTAAATTTTATGAATAATTTTTTACGTATCATATTTATGAAACGAGATTTCTCTGCATACTAGATAGTATTAAAAAAATGTGAAAAAGAATTTCTACCTTGATATATATAAAATGAGGAATCTAATACGTTCATTTACACACTGTTGCGAAATATTTTGATTGTTACATAAATCAAAGAATTTTTTATCGATCTTAATTTAGAGTAGAATTTTTTCAAAGGCAATGTTATATTGTAGTACGTCTGCAAAATAATAACGTTCTATGCTGACATGAATATAAGCGCAGCATAATAATGATTGCAAATGTATAAATGGTTAAGTCGACGGTATGCTTCACGACAGGATATTGTAACGTAATATTTTTGTGCAAATGGGAAAGCAAAAGATGATAGGAAATAATTTAACGAAGATTTAGTGTCAGTCTTATTTAAATCTAATGTATAGATGTTTATCACTATATTTTAAAGAAATATTGTGTACATATCATTCTCCAAAAATTAAATTATTAGGGTCGGTTAACACAAATACAAACATACGCGATATATATTATGTACACAAAATGAATTTATTTTATCCTATTTTTCTTACCAATAAGGAAGCAATAATCTTTTTACCTCATTTCATACCTCACACAATCATTATAAACAACTCGGTACTTTTCATTTTTGTCTTATCGTAGCCGTGTAAAAAGTACATTGTCTGCTTACTCTTCTATAGTGGGTTTCCTCTTATTAAGTTTAGTTTTTATAGACACATTAAAATAATCTTATTGTTAAAAATAGGGACGTAGTTATTTCTCAATAGTCCCAAGCGGTGAATGAGAAACTTGATTCTTCCTAATATATCTGGTATTTAACCTTTTGAGTGGCGAAGAGCTTCATCACGCTTCTCCATGCATATGCGAAAAGTGCCAGAATCGCTACCATGTTCGTCTCAAAACAATTACAATAAAGTGGAAAAACAAAATTTTTTTTGAGATACTGAAATAATTTCATTAACTGGTACAATTATATCGTCTTATACGGCAAAATTTACCAAAAACAATAGTGCATTATATATTGTAGAAATGTAATCTAAGAAACATAGAGAACAAGGGACACAAAAACCTAAACCGAAAATTGTGGTAGATTATAACGAATCCATGGGAGACGTAGATGATGTACTCGTATCTTGATGAAAGAAGAATGTTAGAAAAAAAGTTGTATTCAACATTTTTGGGAAGATGGTTTTGAACTCGTATATTATATACGAAAAAAATGCTGCCGGAAAAAAATGTAGTGTTTGTAATTCACTTCTTCCATTATAATTTTGCTAGAAATGGAATGATTAAAAGGAAAGAGATTACAAGTACAACTTCCCGATGATTCTGAAATCAGAAGCCATGGATTAGAGAAACTGCCAGGTTGTAATATAAGACGATGTGCTGTGTGCAGCAATAAAGATGGTAGTTTGGTACAAAGATCTAACCTTATATGCTTAACTGCAAGAAAGGACTTCACGGATTGTACGTGAGTAAACATAAATGTTCCTGAAAATGATCTCTAATTTTTTTTTATTTTGCTAATTATGAATTGTGTTATATATATTATAAAAACAATTAATTAAATATGAATATAAATATCGCAATTGATTCATAAAGTCTGTTCTCATTTTATTTTTAAATATTTTTTTCAGAATGATCTATCCATTTCTGCAGGGTTTGAAACATTTTTTATTTTATGGTCAAAAAATTTTATCTAATATGTTATAAATACTATGTAAAAATTTCTAAAGGAATACTTCAAAATTGACTTTGATACAAAGTATTTCCCGCACCACTGCAAAAACGCATAAAAACCGCTGGCTTTTTTCACATATGTATGGAAAAAAATCTCTGGCACTCAAAGGGTTAAATTATTTCCTATCATCTTTTGCTTTCCCATTTGCACAAAATTATTACGTTACAATATTCTATAGTAAAGCATACCGTCAACTTAACCATTTATACGTTTATAATCATTACTATGCTGCGTTTATATTCATGTCAGCATATAACGTTATTATTTTGCAAACGTACTAGAATACGACATTGCTTTACGTTGAACCACGTAACGTATCAACGGTAAAAAAATTAATGATAAATAAGATGAAATGAGAAAGAGACCAATGAGAAATATGAAGTATTTTTCACTTTGTACAAAAGGGTAAACAAGAGATGGAAGAAAGCATTGTGTACCTATATGTATATATATATAATATATATATATGTATATATGTTTGCTTTTGTTGTTTCGATAATACAGATGTATTGCTAGACGCAAAAATGTGAAGCTATTACAGTTTTTGTCGTGACTCCTGATGATTCATTTTATTTTGCGGCAGTAGTCTGCGTTGTTGAAAATCTTGCTGAAAGTGGCGTGGTTTAATGGAATGATGATTTAACGAGTTATGAGATTTGTTGTAGGACAGGAAACCTGAAATGAAGAATAAATATTCAAATATATTATTACTATATTACTTGTGTGCAATATCTATATTATATATATATATTTTTAATGTTTTTAATAAATAACCACATGAAATTATTGGTTATGCTTAACGTAAATGACATTGGATAAGGAAGAGAAAGGTTGTTGAGATTGAAATTATAGATGTCAGGAAGCTATGATGACTCACCAGCGGTTACAATGCGAATTGCATTGCGGTCGCAATGAATGATTTCCATTAATAGGGTTGGTGCCTTTGGTTCTGACGACCACCTCCCCCCCTCTGCTTTCCGCCGTAGCCTGAGCCTCCTGAAACAATATCCACGATGTACGTTAGTTCAACAACTTGGATATACCCCCCACTTTCTTCTTCCCGTCGTTTTTTCTTTCTTTCTTT